TACCATCCTATCACATACATGGCCTTTTATCAAGATTAATGTCTGTAAAGTAGGAGGAAGAAGTTAGTCATTGGATTCTCACTGCATAGTCCTAATATAATTTATTCTGGTAGAAATTTTTTTGTGTACATGCATAGACAAAATCTATTTAGAAGTTGAAAGCACTTATAGAAGTCTCAGAAAATTCATTAAACAAAACTATACCGATATTCAGGCAGTGGCTCAGTCCCCATGTATTAAATATAGAATCCAATGTTCACCCACTTCAACCTCCCCCCCACAAGTAATAATGCATGGTCTTATGATAAAGATCTGGTCTTATCTGGGATTCCTGGAGAAAAACAATTCAGATAGCTTTAAAGTCCATCATGTGAATCCTGTTTTTGGCCTCCCTTTGTGTGTTTATGTTCAAAAAATTTCACTAGACAGTTATTATTTTATAGTGAAAGGGCATGGCATTCTTATAATGTAATGGTGTTCATTAATCAAGATGCCATGATACCAGTAATTGCCTTTAATCTCTACCACCATCACCAGCATATACCTTTTGCACTTAGAGTCCCTAATAGGACCTACCCTCAAAAAAACAACTTCAGGCAAGTAGCAGATTCAGTTAGAATTTAGGCTTACCAGTCCATATTCCTTGAAAAAAAATAGGAATTGTGACATTTCAATTTTGTCACATTATGATCAAATTGGTAAATTGCTTGTAAATTTGGATACTTTCAGGTGATTAATGGCACACATTTTTCTCAAATTTACTGAAATAGAAAATATGAATGTTTAAAATACTCATTATCTTTGTCTCTAAATGACTTTGAAAGTTGCCACCAATTTATACTAGTGCTGTAATAGTACAAAGAAAGCAAAACAGAATTTGGCTTAAAATAAATGAAAAAATAAGGTAAGAACAGGCATAATGTATATTTATTTCTCAATTAATTTTCATGATATTTAAACCAAAACGTCTGTTTCTTCATTAAAATTTGCTTAAATAGAAGAAAATAATTTATGAAATGTCAGTGCCAGACACTCAAGGGACAGGTAAAGTTTTAAAGTAACAATGCCACCATTTATCATACATTTCATCATTCTTCAAATCTAACTAAAGTTTAGAAGAAAGGAAATGATTTTTTTTATATAAAAAAAACTAAATAACATAAACCTTTTTTTGTACTAATCAATATGTTAAGTTTAAATGTTCAGATATTCAGTTTGTAATTAAGAGTTGCCTCCCCTTAATTCAGGTGATGCAGTTTCTCATAATTCTAATCTTTTTCTGGATCACTACAAAAGTAGTGATGTGATACATTCAATAAATACCATTGGAGACTAATTTAATAATAACATTTGCATGTGCACATTTGCATGTGGTGCACAACTGATTCAAGAGAGAATGAAAATAGGCAGGCATGCTGTTTTAAAGCAGACCTGAAAAGAAAAAGCAACCATTTTATTTCAGACAAGACTTAGGTAAATATTGGTGATCAGTTGGGTGTCTTGAATATTTATTGAAAAGCAGCCTTGACCTGAAGCCAAACTGACATAATGTATGTTAGCTACTTATGTTTACAATGGTGACCATGTTGCTTATCAACATCAGGATACATACATACATACATACATACATACATACATACATACATACATACATACATACATACATACATACATACATACATACATACATACATACATACATACATACATACATACATACATACATACATACACACACACACATACATACATACATACATACATACATAACATGTTCTATAGTAACAATATTTTGATAGACTGTAAATAACCCATAGTTGTGAAAATAAACCTTATTCTTTTTTCTTACCTTTTACTTCACAACTGTAAAACTTATTTCACCATGTCTAACAAAACAAGAACAGGATGTCAAATATTTTTATTTCAGGTGTTCAGCAGGCCCTAGTGTTGTTCATAATTGGTACTAATTCTTTTTGTTTGCACCAAAAACAGATAAATGTATATACTACCAAACACAATTGATCCTGTCTGTACTACTATGTATACAGTAAAGCAGAGAAAAATTATCCACATTAAATATCAGCAATGCCATAACAATGGTCACCAGTGCAGCTTGTTTCAAATAAAAGTAATGATGCCAAAAACAGTATGAAAGTAAAGATTAACCACACAAACAAAGTACCAGTCCAGGTTAATTTGTTAGAAACAGCTATGAAATAAGTTTGTGTAAATCATTTAAGCATTTAACAAGTAATGACATCATAGGAAAGACATAGGACTCTTATTTTGCTGAACTGTCATAGCATCATTATGTCAAAGATGGGCAATTGATAAAAAAGAATTTTTAACCAACAAAACAAGCTGAGATATTTATTTTAAAAATGGTTAAACCAGTTTTCATGAGATGTGACAAAAGATAGAATGCAGTGTCAAAAGAACAAGACAATTTTGTCAGTAAGGGTGTTTCAGTTTTAAGTTGCCTCTGTAGACTTTAGAATGTAATGAAAATGTACCTTCCTCAGGAGCTGAAATTGGCATATAGCACTGTCATATAGCAACACTATTGGTATTGTGTTCAATAAAGTGTCTGACAAGGCAGATGGAGCTATGATGGCACTATTTCAAAATGTCTCTCAATAATATATTATCTCTGCATCAGGTGCAAGTTTTAAACCAGATAAAGTATCAAGCATAGAAGCTCAGTTTTCAGTAGGAAACACACAAATTCTAACCAGGAGTTTGATATTTTATATATAAAGAGCATTAAAAATTTTAAGAAAGAAAAAAAACAGTATCTCTATTACACACACACACACACAAAACAAAAAATATTGTCAGTTTTTTCATTGTTGTTCTTTAATGCAAGAAAATGCATATATGTATATCTTGTGGATACAATGATTTCACCTTCCAGGTTTTACAATCAATGTATGTTATTACATAGTTCTTTATCAATTTAATTTAGTAATTTATAATAAATAAAAAGGGGAGTTTGCAACTTTCATATGAAAATGTACTTCAAGTTGAGTAGGAAATATGAAATGGTACCGGTTTCAGACTTGTTCAGGTCACTTGGACAACAGCAAATATACTATGTAATACTCATACGTGCACTGGTTAAAGTTTCCAAGTTTTAGTCAAGCCAGCCTGGTTGTGAACTATAATGGTTGGGTGGGGGGATTCCAAGATAACCACCACTGACCATCTTAGTTTGACTGCTTCTTTCAAGGAAAGTATTAGTAAATGGTTGGCATAGAGATATTTCTTACCATATATGAGAATGGTGCCAATCTGAAATTTACAAAATGGCTTCCTTGAAGACCTTTTTGAAAGTCATGCTCCAAAACAGTGGTGGAAGTGGTATTTGGTTTAAGAAAAAAAAACATTTATGGTCATTATTATCTGACCTACCAGTATTGTTGCGGTGGTGGTCAACTTAAAATCTTGTTATTGCTCCTACTGAACAGATGTTGACATGGGTTTTGACTAACACTTACAGAGAATAATGTTGTTGGCCCTGAACAAAAACTGTACTGATATTCAACATGGTAACCATAGTGGCCCTCTTGAAATTCTTGATGTCATTGACACTTGTCCTCATGAATTGATGTTTGCATCAGATTTGTCTCATCATTTTTGTTGGGTACCAATTTTAGCAAATTTCATCAATGTTGCAAGCAAAATTTAAAAACTGCTCAAACAAATGATCCTTCTCTGGAGATAATAGGGCTTCCTTCTCCATTCCACAAATGTGAAATACTGATGAAATCAAATTACTGGCAAAGATACTGCTGAAAATAAGTGTATTCACAATATATAGCTTGTCTTAAATTATGATGGTGTGCAGAATGATATATCAGTATGGTTTCACTAGTTTGAGGACCAAATCGTTCATATATATATATATATATATATATACATATATATATATATATATATATATATATATATATATATATATTGACAAGACATTTTAATTTAATGCAGTTCATTATATAATTTGATTGTCATCTTGCTGACATTGATTTCAGGTCAAAGGCCTTGCTCAGCTTTTTATCTGCACTGGTGTTTGAGTATTATAAAAGATGTATCAATGGAGTTTTATCAAACCAGGTATGATTTGGCTATGGCTGGAATTGACACCTCCCACAACCAATAATAAAATTTAAAAAAGGAATTTTTTTAATCCTTAATAATTATTTTCAACCTGTAGCCCATCAGTTTAGCTGAGAAATTTCTGGTAGGACGATGGACACTGTTCTGCTTTCAGACAGTATTATGCTTGTGACGATTCCTTTTTTTCTGCTGTTGTGTTGGTTTTTTTCCCCATAAATCTCAGGAAGGAGTCCACGTTGGTGGGAAGTGAGACAAAGCTGCTTCTTCCAGTAGCATGAACAGTTTAAGGGTTTTGTATAAAGTTTTTGTTTACATTTATTCCTATATTGCTTGCTACATTTTTAGCATACTTGGCATTAGCCACATGGAACTATGACCAAAATCATTCTTTAACATTCATGCTCAATTTCTTGGTCTTGGAGTCAAAGTCACATGTTTTACAGCAGTGTTTTATCCTTGGCTTAACATTGCCTTCTTCTTCAGTAGTAGGTATTTATTATTTTTTTTTAAAAAAAATCTGAGTACAGGGTGTAAATGACATAGTCCTGTGATTGAACCTGACTCAGTGTTTAAATAACCTCAAAAGCTGTTGGGTACTTTTAGTCAAAAACCATCCCTGTAAACCTGCCTCAGATCTGGGTGTTTTTATTGGTGGTTTTTTTTTTGTCCTGAAGGTTGATTCATGCATGGGTAATTTGATTTTTATGGTGGGCATGTACATTACAATAGCAATTTTTGTAATTTGGAACAGGTGTTTGTTGTTTTTGTGGTATAAAATCACTTTTCAGTCAACATATAATGGCAGACATTTAATATTTGAGATTTTAATTTCCTTTTGGGGCCATTGATGCTATAACTCCTTTGGAGTATGTACACATTATGTTGACTGCTCCTGTGGCCTAGTGGTTTGAGCATCCGCCTTGGGTGCAGGAGGTCAATGGTTCAAACCCAGGCAGAGTCATACCAAAGACTTTTAAATATGGTACTAACAGCTGCCTCACTTGGTGCTCAGCATTAATAGGTTAGTGTTAGGATTGGTTGGCCTGGTGCCAGAATAATATTACTTGGTTGGACATCATACCACATGTCCTTGGCATGATGCCCCAGTGATAGACATCACTATAAGCTGTCACCCTGCAGACATAGGGATACAACTGAAATCACACACACACACACATTTTATAACTCTCCTTAGGTTTGGTAATTGTTTGGAATATTCATAAAAAGAAATTGCATAAAATTTGGACACAATTTTTAAATTATACATCGAAAAATATATTGAAAGTTATTTTCTTTATTATAATGGCATCAGCTTGAATTTGCTTGCAAAACATTTTATAAGTATTATTAGTAGAAGAAAGTTAGCTTTATTAAATGATTTCCCAAGTCGCAGATTAAACTAGAAATCTCCTTGTAGGCTTTGGTGTTGTATCATTAGACAACCTACTTTACCCTAATAACTACCAGTGACTAAATGAACTTGGCAAAACACTTAAGTAGGCTTAGTCTCATCAAACCAGAAATGTTGTTTCTTTTTCTAAAAAGCAAAACATTGTAAAGCATGTATAGACCTTCCAAGCATGTCTCTTATACATGCCAATAAATACAAGTGCCTTTTAGACAAAATAACTTTAAGGGAGCCTTGCCTAAACAAATCAAAATAATGTGTCCATTATGCACACCAATAAATAGTAGTAAATAATGAGATGCAACTAACTTCCTACCTGAAGGCAAATCACATTAAAGATGTCCTGGCTTGGCTGAATTAAATCTGGGTATTGTGTATGCATTTCTCAATGACACCAATAACACAAAGCATTGGCAAAATTTTACATTGTCTCAGAAATAAGCAAGATTTATTTATATATTCTGCAACATTTATGTCAATTTGATCAAAAAAATATATATCTTTTCATTATAAGTTTGACATGTGGATAACATATAATAGCAGTTGTTTATTAAAGTAATGGGTTAACACAAATTATGTTATAACAATATTGCACTCAGCAGAAACAAATTAGAAAAACCATCAAACTGATAAAACCTGTTGGGTGTTTTAATGAAAATTCTTGATTTTTGTAGACAAAGGATTTGGGGTTTTATGATTGGGCTTTATAATATGTCTGCAATATGCTGGCCAATTGGGGTCATCAGTGATTGCTCTGTTGAAATTTCAAACTGTCAATAACACCTGTTGTGTAGGCACATTATAAAATTACAGGTACAATACTATAAATCCGAGTGTATTAGAGCAACAGTTTGGTGACAGGAGTTAGAAAACAAAAATTTCTGTGTTATATTATTCACATTTAGTTGCAACGCAGTCATACAATATTCAGTCATACAATATTCAGTCATACAATATTCAGTCATACAATATTCAGTCATACAATATTCAGTCATACAATATTCAGTCATACAATATTCAGTCATACAATATTCAGTCATACAATATTCGTATTTACAATATTCAGTCATACAATATTCAGTCATACAATATTCAGTCATAATACAATATTCAGTCATACAATATTCAGTCATACAATATTCAGTCATACAATATTCGTATTTACAAGAAGTAGTACCACAAATGAACTAATTTTTAAAAAATGCTTTAAAAAATGATGCTAAGATGCTGGTAGTTCCATTACTGCTTAATCTTAGTATACCATATATACTCACTTATAAGTCCAACTGTAAGCAGTAAAGATCCTAATCTACCATAGCACATTGAGCCTGCAGGTTAGGGTGTGTGCTTGCTCTATGAGGTCTAATTGAAAACAGCTTTGTCTGTTATCTCATAATGTGCCAGCAGATCAGTGTCTGTGATGGGTTTTTTTCTTTTGATTACTCTTTTCAAACTACATAGACCCATAGTTGCTGTACATGATACAGTGGCAGATTAGCATCTCTGCAGCTTTGTCCATGTATCCAACTTGCACATAGTATTAATGTCAGTTTAGTTGTGAAAATGAGCAAACAAAATATGCATTGCAAAAAAGCTGAATTCACTGAATGGAAAAATTTAATTATAAAATGTTGTGATTTATTGTGGCTTATAACATTACAAGGAAACAAATTTAACTGTAAAATGATGTGATTATATGATTATGATTTTTAGCATAGCTTTAACAATTTTTCAGTCCTATTGCTATGTGTGCTTTGTGGCAGTTTATAGTGATGTTTTAGCACTAGGGCATCATGCTGCAGACATGAAGCATGATGTCCCACTCAGTAACACCAGGCCAACAAGTCCTAACACTAACCTTTTAATGCTGAGCTCAATCGAGGCAGTTCTTAGTGCAATTTTTGTAAGTCTTTGGTATGAATTGACTGGGAATTGAACCCACAACCTCCGCATCTGAGATGGACAAGGCCACCAGAGTGGTTTAAACTGTAAAATGAAGAAAATCATGAATCTTGATTGTGACAGTAAATTTTTTATGTTGCCAATAAAAGATTTAAAATTCACAAATTGATACATTTCACATCCCATCATCATGGTGGATTACATTTATTGTAATGGCTGCTGTACTGACCACCTGCATAGAAGTTTGAAAAGTATCCTATAATTATATAAATATTTTACCTGTATACAAAGAACATTTGCTAATAAAGACAGCATCTAGACCCCCTCTTGAAGTGGACAGTTAGCATGGGTCTGATAAGGTGATACAAATATAAAGGAAGACATATGATCCATGTCTCTGCTTTTTTTTAAAATTAAAAAATACTATATTTAGTTGGCAAATTATAGCTGCCATTGTGTTGAATGTACAATGTAGGAACCTCACCCTATTCTATAAAGGAAGCAGAAAGGAGTCTCATGTCTGTCCGTTCCATTCTTTTTCTTCTAATCCCAACATTTGTCTTGTTCTGGTTTCATACTGTCACATCCAGTATGTTTATCAGGAATTAAGTTTCTGTTCAAAAACTTTTGAAGAAATCCATGGAGTGAAACCAAGTTTGGTACAGGCTTTACATTAAGAAGGCCTGTTTACAAATTGGTTTTCAACATTTTATGACAAAATTTGGCTGATTTATGCCCCTGTTTGAATAAAAACTTTACATATAGGGTATGCTTTCTTCTGTTGCTTCATGTTGGCAGAGAAATTCACATCATGGTTGACAGCCTGTATGGTTTTCCTTTAAAGCTTACAGTATACAGCAAATGTATGAGGCACAGCATCATGTGGTAAGGTATCCAGATATTTGCATTAGGGCATGACCTACACATTTGTAAATAAGGTAACATTTGTAACATGTGTTCTGACTTCTTTAATCTCCACCTTCTCCACATAGCTGAAGATAGCATCCAGGTGCAAATTTCTTTCACATTGATTGATGGGTGAAGCTAATTTGGTTGGCTTTAAAATAACGGTAATTTTTCCTTACCTTGAAAACTTGGCTCTCTCTTTTATTAGACACTTATAAATGACTTTAGAAAACTTTATTGTAGGTCATATTTCAATAGATTTATTTTTTTATATCAGAAAACTATTTCTGGTCATGTATCAATGGTTTCAGTTTTTTTATGTCTGAAAACCTTATTAGTGGTCATGGATGAATAGATTCAGTGTTTGGTATCAGAAAACTTTATCCCTTATCATTATCAATAGATTTAACTTTTGTTATCAGAAAACCTTATTCCCAATCAGTTATCAATATATTACATTTCTGTTTTAGGAAACTGTCTTTCTAAAAAGAGCAAAGGAAGAGCCTTATTGACCTGGGATCAAACATTCAAAGGTCAAAGTCACTGTGACCATACCAAAAATGTTTATGGCAAGATAAGTGACCAGAAGGGACAAAACATTGTTTCTGCTTATTAGTTCTCTACCATCTACAGTTAGCAGACTGCACTTCGGAGAGATTGTGAGAATAGAATTTTAGGCTTAAAAGGTCAAACATCAAGGTCACTGTTATTGAAAGAAGAAAAATGGTTTCTGCCCAATAACATTAGTGCTTCGTCAATTAATCACTCAATTAATCACCTTGTGGAAATCTTGCACTTGATGTAGGAAAGAAATATATAGAATTTAATATAAAAAAATTGTAAAGTTCATAGTCATCGTGTCTCAGAGATGAAGAATGGTCTTCTCACAATAACATTCAGCTTTATAGCAGTGCTTAGATCATATGCTTGTTATAAGGCTCCATGTTATATTTACTGTGTTTTGTTCAGAAAGAAAACTATTATATGTAGGTATAAATACTTTTTCTGTGATGTTTTTCTCTCCTGGTCACATAATGAAAATCCCATTAGTTGCCTTCCATGCATACTTACTTGATTGCACAGTGCCCCATTGTAGTGCATGCTGTAGTTTGTTTGCAAATTAGATGGGATGTGTGGGCATGGCAAGTTTATTTGAGTTTTTGATGTTGAAATTAGCAGCCTGTTTACTGAACAAACCCTAAATGACTATCTAGTGTAGGGTAATAAACTCAAACCAACTGAAATAATGCAAAATGTAAGACCATGTGGTCAGGATGAGAATTCTAGTCAAGTGCAGTGAAAAAGCGCATCTTTGACAGATTTTAAAACACACCATTCATGCAATCGATGCATCTTTACATTGGTTTGAATTTCTGTAGTGTATAATTCCCTATTAAACAACAATCGATTATTCACCTTTACACTGGTTGGATTCCTGTGTTATACAACCCATGCATCTGACACTGGTTCCTGTATAAATGGACTGGCTGAGTAACAGTTGTTTTTTGTTAGAATCTGTGTACTATACATACAGTAACAGTCTACCATGCTTGAAGTACACTGTGGAAATACTTAATTTTGTATAAGACTTTGGAATGTACAGAATTTATTCTTTTCTTCTCCTCCTTCCTTTAATATTTTTTTTTTTCAAAAGCAAAACAACCAGAGACCTTTATGCAAGGGTCTTAGCAGATATAGTTGTAACCTACATACCAGCAGATATGTAGTGCTCTTCATTTTATAAG